CTCCCAGCGCTCTCGGCCGCTGCCCCCGCCACCCGCACGGAACTGCGAAGCCGCGCCCGTGCCGCGCCCTCTGCGCGGTGCCTGTCAGCCGCTGGCGCGTTTATTTCCCGGCCCCTCGGCTCTAGATTGTGCCAGGTCTTTCCCGGATAGCGACGTGTGCGGAGGCCGGGCGCGGTGGCACACTCGGGAAGCCGAGGCAGGAGGATCGCCCTAAGTTCCAGGCCAGCCTGGGCTACATAATGAGTTCAAGGCCAGGCTGAACTACATAGCAAGAGCCTGTCACAAAACAAACAAACAAACCCCGCACCCCACCAAAGTGTGGTGACACTTCTGTTGTCAGTCTTCTTTTTTTTTTCTCTTCTTGTATTCTTAATGTAACTTTGTTTTTATCTTCTAATGAATTTTGATCAGAAAGGGACTGTGCCACAAGTACCTTAATTTTCTTCTTGTCTTTTTGAGACAGGGTCTCACTATGCAGTTCAGGCTGACCTTGAGCTCACTTTGTAGCCCAGCCTGGCCTCGAACTCACAACGATCCTCCTGCCTCAGCCTCCCAAGTGCTGGGATTACAGGCCTGCGCCACCGCGCCCGGCTGGCTTGTAATTTTTTGAGCAAGTTTTGTTGCTTAGTGGAGAACTCTTGAGTGATTTGCAGATGCTGCTGCTCTTCATGTGCGAGGACCTCACTGTCGTGATGCTTCGAGGCTGTGACTGCTCTGTGGATCACAGAGCTCGGTGAGGGCGCCGGCTGTGTCCCTAACCAGTGTATCTTCTGCCTGCCTGGCGCCCTGTTTAGGACCGGCTGACATCATAATTACTTGTTGATGTTGAAAAAAATATTTTATTGGAAGCAAAAATAACTACCTTTGCGTCTAGGAAAAATGGTTTTAATTGGTATATATCTCTCAAGGGGCGAGATTAAATGTTTTATGGACCTAGGTCACAAAATGATACTGACGACATTTCTGTCTTTACTGTCTTTTAGGTGGCTTTTTCTCAAGTATTTTTTCCAGCCTCTTTGGAACCCGGGAAATGAGGATTTTAATCTTGGGACTGGACGGTGCCGGAAAAACCACCATTTTGTACAGATTACAGGTCGGAGAGGTGGTCACCACGATTCCTAGTAAGTGTCGGTGTGGTGAGTGAGCCCTGCACACCCTGGCTTCCCTTCTGATGAGGTTTTCTCAGTGCTTGTAGTAAATGAGTGTGTGAACGTACGGCGTGGGCATCACACTGAGAGTGCTTTCTCCGTAAACGAGGGGCGCTTGATGGGATTAAGGCCTCTGTCGCGCCGCGGAGCTGGCTGAAGTTGGTGGACGTCACCGCGCCTTTGTGACAGCGGTGTCCTTACCGCTGAGGTGGAGAAAGTCGGTCCTGTGGGCTTTGAGAGGGCAAAGCAGGCGGGGCTTACAGAAGCACTTTGCAAAACCGTGCAACAGTTATATAATGTTAAGTAATACTGCTGCATATGAAATGCCTTTTGTGGGTATCTTCCACTATTTGATTAGGACTAGTTCCTCGTCAGTAATTTATTGATTTGTTTTAAAGATCTACATTGTAGGGCCGGGATATAGCTCAACGGTTCATCGCCTGCCTGGCAAGCCCAAGGTCCTCAGTGGAGTCCAGCACCAAAAAAAAAAAAAAAAAAAAAGATTGCAGACTGAATGTTAAAATAAACCAGTGCTTAAAAATAACACCTCGCAGGGCATGGTGGCGCAGGCCTGTAATCCCAGCACTGGGGAGGCTGATGCAGGATTGTTGCGAGTTCGGGACCAGCCTGGGCTACAGAGTAAGTTCAAGGCCAGTCTGAACTGCATAGCGAGTCCCTTCTCAAAAACACAACAAAAAATAAAAATAAAAAAATAGCACCTCAACTTCAATTCGATTGGTGCTCTCTGGGAAAATGGTCAGACAGTCCTGGGGGGGACACGAGGGTACCACTGCTGCTGCCTTCTGCTGGTTGGATTTATGTAGAGACCGAGTGAGCTGAGCGTGCACGGAAGCCTTCCTGCAGCCCGCTCGGGATGGTTTTTGGTCACCGTTTCGGCTCTCAGGTTTCCTGAGGGAACTGCGTAAGCCTGTGACATCTGTTTGTGCGCTACCTGGAGTCCTGTCTCAGTCCCCGCCCCCCCGGGGGGCTTGCATGCCTGGCTGCCCTGGCAGGGCGGCCCCGGTTGTGGATCACAGGCAGTGGGCGGCACCCTTCGAGAGGAGCCGGCCTTCCTCGCTTGCTGGCTTTTCTCAGGCTGCCACGCCACACCACCGTGGAGGACACGGATGTGGGAGATGAGCGCCCGTAAGCCTCGTCCGCACATGGGTGCTGAAAAGCTGAAATCACCATGCGGTTAGGACTCTGGGCTGTTTTTATTGGAGTTCTTTTTCTTTTTTTTTTTTTTGGTCTTTTTGAGACAGGGTCTTTCTGTGCAGTCCAGGCTGGCCTCGAGCTCACTTTGTAGCCCAGGCTGGTTTCGAATTTGGAATGATCCTCCTGCCTCAGCCTCCCGAGTGCTGGGGTTACAGGTGTGGCCCACCACGCCCCGTTTTACTGGGATTTTTTGAGCTTGTAAAATGTAAGTGGTCTGTGTCGGTGCCCGCTTTCCGTGCTGGCCCCTTGGGGACTGCGGTATCTTCCCACAGCTTGCTGCCTGGTGCCCTGGCTCCACCTGAGGAGGTGGGGTGACCTGAATGCCCCGCTCCGGCCGGGCTGGCTTGGGTTTTGCTCCTTGTGAGCTCGGGGTGCTGCAGAGGTGGCCCCGAGACCCAGCCTGAGAGTGCACAGCCTCGAGATGCATGTGCTGTGCCGAGGTGCAGGTCAGGACCCAGTCCTTGCTGGCTTCGGGCCTGGGTCTGTGATGGCCGCTTAAGTTCTGGCTTCTGCAGTACATCTGAAGCCGCACTGTGTAAACACAACGTGGGGACTTGGGCGGCCCCCACGGTGGATGCAGCACTGGTGCAGAGCGCCCCGGGCAGGGAGTGCTCAGCCACTGCACCCTCCATTGCCCAGACTCGGGGACCGGATAGCTGGAAGGTGTGCATGTCATTGCACACGTACGAGTGATGTGATTTCTCTTTCAGCCATCGGATTTAATGTGGAGACAGTGACATACAAAAACCTGAAATTCCAAGTGTGGGATTTGGGAGGACAGACAAGTATCAGGTACGATATCAGCGTCAGGTTATTTTATGTTCTGTGGTGTTTAAACATTCATTGGTCTTTTTTTATTTTTTTTTTTTTTTTTTTGATTTTCAAGACAACGTCTTGCGTGCAGTTCAGGCTGGCCTAAGGCTCAGTGTAGCCCAGGCTGACCTCTGACTCCGTAGGCGTCCTCCTGCCTCAGCCTCTCGAGTGTTGGCATTGATTGGTTTCTTTTTTATTTTGTTTTTGTTGTTTGAGACAGGGTCTCGCTGTATAGCTCAGGCTGCCCCTGAACTCACAATCACTGTGTAGCCCAGGCTGGCCTCGAACTTGTACCAATCCTCCTGCCTCAGCCTCCCAGTGCTGGGCTTACATGCCACCATGCCTGGTGAGTGCTTTCTTTAACAGCAATAAACCAAAATATATTTTCCCTCGTATAGTGGATGGGAGTTACTAGTTTAAAATGACATAAAATTTGAAACTGTTTCCTTAGCATATCCATTGAATTAAAGTGTCAGGAAGCCAGTTCTTCAGTTATCACACAAATCTTTTTATAAAAATCTCAAGACACAGTTACGTTAGTAGTTTTTAATTCAGAAGGGCTCTCCAGCCCATTCGTGCCAGCTCTTTCCTCTAGGAGGAGACTGTTGTGGAATTTGTAGAAATACCTCCCAGGCTGGGCGTGATGGCGCATGCACGCCCTTGAGCCCAGATACTTGGGAGGCTGGGGCAGGAGGATTGTCAAGTTCAAGGCCAGCCTGGGCAATTTAGCAAGCTCCTGTCTTCAAAAAAAAGTACAGAGGTCTGGGGCTGTAGCTCAGTGTGAAGGGCCTCCTCTCAGTCCCCCTAACAGAGTAACTGACGCCTGTCCCAGCCTGGCGGGTCCGCCATGCGAGCTAATGCAAATGCATCGTAGACGCCTTCTGCCGCCAGGGCTCCTGAGGCGCTGGGAGGGCTGGGCCGCTCAGCCATAGCTTGCTGCGGCTCCGTTAGTTAGGGATGCTTCCTGGGCTGCTGCCTGCCTTGACCTCATTTCTGCAATCACTCTTGAGTTTAGTTTCAGCCATTTCTGGTGTCTTCAGTGACTGGTGATTATCATACAAAGTTTCATTAAAATAAAGTCTGCTCCTTTTCAAGGGACTGCTGCTTGAACATTTGTAAGCTAGCTATAATGATGAGGAATGTATATAACTTCTGTTACTACACGTAGTATTTTATAACTTAGCCTGCACTCCTTTCACAACTTTGTGGTTCTGTGTTTTGTTTGTTTTTGAGACAGGGTATCGCTGTGTAATCAAGGCTGGCCTTGAACTCTCTGCGTAGCTCAGGCCGGCCTCAAACTCGTGGTGATCCTCCCGCCTCAGCCTGAGCTTAGAGGCGTGGGCCACCACGCCCGCAGCCATGTACTATTTGTCGGTACGCTTTCAGCCGCCTGGCACCCGAGGGCCACGAGGTCTGTGCCCGGCACGCAGCGCAGGCTGCACTCGCGCCTCCGAGCGCCCCCTGCCCTGTCCCTGGCGCACGCTTCTCCCGCTGTCCTGGGTGGTAACGGGGACCCCCTCCCACGTTCCTGTAGGCCGTACTGGAGATGTTACTACTCGAACACGGACGCCGTCATTTACGTGGTAGACAGCTGTGACCGGGACCGCATCGGCATCTCCAAGTCCGAGCTGGTGGCCATGCTGGAGGTGAGCCGGGACGGCGCTCGGGCTCGCGCAGGGCTGCCGCGTGCGTGCCGGGACACGGTGCAGAGTTCCGGCGCAGGGACGAGGTCCCGCAGCTCTGGGCGACCCCCGCCCCTAAAGCTCCTGGGAGAGCCGGGTTCCCGTCGGGTCCTGTGACCCAGACCCAGGGCCTCCCCGAAGCCGCGTCCTCCTCCGCTGCAGCTGCCCTGCACACTCCTGCGCTTGAGGCAGAAGGGTCCTCTGGGCCCTTAGAGCGAGCGTCGCAGCCGCGAGGCGCGTGCTGTTTGTGCGTTGTCGCCTGCCAGCGTTGGTGGTGCTCAGCCTCCGTGCCTCCCCCTGGGCAGAGCGGGCTGCACCTGCCCCAGGCCGGCCTGGGCCGCCTCACCCTCCGCCGCCTCTGTGCTGGGGTGTGGCCTGCACCACCATGCCTGCCTTGAAGCAGTGTTTATGGTTTGGAGAAACATTCGTGATTCTACTTTAAAGCATGTTATAGGAGTACAAGTAAACGTCATCTTCAGTGAGTAAATGTATTAAGTACGCATGTACAGAACACAGTGCTAGGAGAAAATAATGTTAAAATTTGCTTGTGCCAGGCGTGGTGGCGCACGCCTGTCATCCCAGCACCCGCAGGCTGAGGCAGGAGGATCAGTGCAAGCTGAAGCCGGCCTGGGCTACCTAGTGAGTTTAAGGCCAGCCTGCACTGCACAGTGAGACCCTGTCTCAAAGACAAAAGCAAGCCCCCCCCCCAAGATGCATTTTCGATGCTTCTGCCTGGCTCGAGGGCGCAGGCTGGTGAGGGTGAGGTCTCCGCGTCCTTAGGAGGAGGAGCTGCGGAAGGCCGTCCTGGTGGTGTTCGCCAACAAGCAGGACATGGAGCAGGCCATGACCCCCTCGGAGACGGCCAACGCCCTGGGCCTGCCGGCGCTCAAGGACCGCAAGTGGCAGATATTCAAGACGTCGGCCACCAAAGGCACCGGCCTGGACGAGGCCATGGAGTGGTGAGTGTCCCGAGCCGAGGCGGCGCTCACCGTGCGGGGCGGGAGCTTCCGCCCGACCTCGGTCGCCCACGGCGCTGTCCCCTCCGCAGGTTGGTGGAGACGCTGAAGAGCAGGCAGTAGCGGCGCCCCGCGCCCCGGCCGCCTGTGGACTGGAGACGAGGCGGGCGCC